CAGAAAAAGGATCAACATGCTCTGAAGTCAGAGCACAAAAACCTTTTTGTAACAAAATATCGATTTCTGCTGTCCCTGTATCCATACATTATTAGAAACAAAATATCAAAATACTCCACAGTATCCATTTTTCCCCCCACCCCTACGTGACAGAGTCAAAGACTAAAGAGTTTCGTTATGACGCTCTTCTGAAGAGCCGGCCCTTCGGCGAGGAGAGCGTAACGCGGCGCATCAGTTTTTCTTTCCCGCCCGGCTGCATTGCTGCTAAACACACATCGCAGATTTTCCAAAATGAAGCTCTTATTTAAAGCCATACATCAGAACGCATGACATTCGTAAAACTCGAGCCAAATTAGAGCGCCAAGGTTCCTCAAAACTCATCTGGTTTGCCCCTGGGCGCGTAAAAAGCCTTCGGTTTGCCCGCCGCGGCACAGCGCACACAGAGGGGAGCCTTGCACCCAAGGACCTCTCCTTTCTGCTAATAAGAAATATGCAGCTCGCACTTTGAAAAGTAGTCTTAAGGAGCTCAACTCTTCTTCACTTATAAACCTAATGAAGGCACACAAACATCTTAGAAAACAGAAACGCGTCTTGTCAGCCAACATCTCGTCAACGCTAACCTTTACGTTCTCTCCGCACTTTGAATATGTGAGAACATGAATGACTTCTTCCAAGTTGCTTTTAGTGGATTCTTATCTTATTCTCTTTCCACGTCGTCCTTAAGAAACAGTCTTTTTATACGGCTGTCTTCCATTCAGGATGAATGGGCGGACAGGCTTTAGGGAGGCCTTGAGAGCACAAAAGCAAAGAAGCTCAGCAGCAGAAAGACATTAAAGCATTTTCTATTGTCTGACTGTGCCTGTGACATTATACAGAGCATTGTGCAGCAGCTTTCAGTCCACGCGGTGAAGGCACCATTCATTTAAGGAGTTTAACCCAATTGAATGTAGCAGAATACACAAACATGCCTGAAATCTGTCTTTACTCTTTATTCTGCTCCGTCGTGGAAAAACTTAAAAAATGTGCAAATTCAGAGCATATTTGATGTTTGTGAGAAGTTTGGTGCAACTGCTTCGAGTCAACGTTTGCTCGTTGCTGTTGAAGGATCCACGGGAATGTCAGGAGACGGGATAATGAGCCCAGATGCCAAACCGAAAACGGAGGTGAAAGATGACGGCGGCCCCGCCAACGAGCCCCACAAACCAAAGGTAACTCCTTGACCGTCTCCCCGTTCTCCCACTTCCTCTCTTTCGTTTGTAAATGCTCTTTTTAATGTTCCCCCGCTAACGAAGCAGACCAGTCGTGATCAGCGGATGCTGCCGTCTCGCTGTTGTTTTCTCACCATATTTAATGATTTGTTTAACATTTACCGTTCCTAATGTTTTCCTCGCTTTGTTTTTGCCCCCAGCACTCTCTTCTTGCTGATGTTTTGCACAGACAGAGGGGGCTTGGCATCTGCACACATGTACATCCACGCAAGCAAACACAGCGCCGACACACACAGCATGCACGGTGGAAAACACACACTCTAACTAGCCCTCTCCGTCTGTGTCACACACACACTGCTGACTTCTCATTTTGCCCGACAATAGCGGCTCAGCAACAACAGAACTCTGCTCTTTGCTCTTTTCTACCCCCTCCTCTTGTTTTTGCTTAACAACGTTCCTCCGAGTCACGCACACGCACGCTGCCTCCATCACATCCACTGCACATCTTTTCCCTCAAAAATCTCTGTCTTTTCTTTTGCTGATTATGGTAGTAGGTCTTCTGAATTATTTAAGGCAGTCAGAGCAGCCAGAAAGACCCCCGGTGCTCCCGAAAGAGATGATCTGTCTGCCAAGAGAGGGAAGAGGAGGGAGAAAGATAAGGTTTTGCTGACATGAGCGTTCTGCACACAGTCCAGAAGCACTTGTCAAGCTGTTGTTCCCTCTTTTACACACTCTCACACTCACAGACACACAGTTAAACTGGGGAGACTAAATGCATGTTAAATTCATTACATGCAGACGTCTTATCCATGCATGAAGCCTTGCTGTTCCTCTGCCACACACTGCACAGGCTTGTGGTTGCAGTGAAGCAGCAGAGGTCCAGCTTGGTGTGAGGTTTTGCAGGCTGGTGTAAACTGTTGGATTGCAGCTCGGCTCTCGCAATGAGAAGAATTTCTTTCAGCTCGTTTTTGTGACATATTTCCGTTTCTGTGGTCCTGTTTTTGGCATTCCAGAGGAACTATTCCTGGAAATTCCAATAATATTTTTCATTAAATTTTTCCTTTCCAGTCACCTTTCTCACTCACTATGTGTTAACAGACCTCTCTGCATTGAATCATATCTGTTATTAACCTCTGTCTCTCTTCCACAGCATGTCTTTATCCTGTCTTCCTTCTCTCACCCCAACCAATCACAGCAGATGGCCCCGCCCCTCCCTGAGCCTGGTTCTGCTGGAGGTTTCTTCCTGTTAAAAGGGAGTTTTTCCTTCCCACTGTCGCCAAAGTGCTGCTCATAGGGGGTCATATGATTGTTGGGTTTTTCTCTGTATTTATGAAGCGCCTTGAGGCGACTTTTGTTGTGATTTGGCGCTATATAAATAAAATAAAATTGAATTGAATTGAATTAAAAGCAACCAATCCCTAATGCCGTTGGAAGCTCGGGGTGTCTCTAAACGGCGTGCTCGGTGCTGTCACAGACGAATATTTTGTTATTCGTCAGGATCAGTTTGGCCGATCTGGCTTCAGGATATGAAACAAACTCGGGGGGATGCAGACTGGTTGCATCCTGTTACAGCACCACGCTCTGATTCATCCGGTGAGATCGACCTGTTCTTTCACAGTTTGTAAAGGCTGAATGGCTCTGTGCTTGATTGACGTCTGCAAACAGCTGAATTCAAAGATGGGGAGGTCTGACCAATGCTTTTGTCCGAGCAGCGACACTCATAAAGTCAGGAAAACACTCAAAATCAAATTCTCTGATGTTGTAGAGGTCTTCTCTTTAATCAGTGCACCTGTTGTACTAATGAGCTCCTATTCCATATCCTTGAGTAGTTTTTGTATCCACAGTCCAGAAACCCAGCGGCTATCATCTGACCTCTGAGGCCGAGTCAGTGTGTACGCTCCACTGAGGAATGAGGATCAGTTATAATAAAGCTAAAGCATCGTCAGGTGATAGCTGACGGTTTTGAGTTGCCTTCCACAGTGACTGTTATCCTGCATCCAGCCAATCAGATGTTTCTGTGCAGCGCTGAGCAGTAATCCCACTGCTCTCTCTTTAACAGCTCCCGGACGTTTACGTCAACAATAACAGCAGCGGCGGCTCCCAGCAGTGCGTGTCCCAGCCAGCCACTCCGGGCGGCGCCCTACCCGTGCCCTCGCCCCTCTCACCCAGCCCCGCCAGCCTCTCCTCCTACCACGGAGATGACAGCGACAGCATCAGCAGCCCCCCCTGGCCTCTCAAGACTCCCTCCAGCCCCGTAAGAACCAGACGCCATCCTGCATGGATGCATTTATGCACAAAAAAACGTGTTTCCGTGTAGTCACTGGAAACCTGCTTGTTAGCGCACAGACATCCTCCTGAAGCAGGATTAAAGTTTGGTGCGATTAACTCCACCGGTCTGTGCAGGAACTGCGGCTGCACACGCTAAACCAAACGCTTTAGAGACGTATTTATTTTTACTTGGTCATTCAACCAGCAGCCGACTCAGAATGTGTAAATAAGGAATGAATTTTTAATGATGCCCGTGGGAAGAGTGGCTCACTGTGGAAAAGAACAATATCCTGCAGAACAGAGCATGTACTGTATATCACATATAACAGACACTGACTCTGAGTTTTCCTGATTCGCGCGTCTTTATTTACGTTATGCATCTGCATGAGAAGGCAGAAAAACAACCTGACGTAGTGCTTAAATACATCTTGTATTCAAATAAAACGTCACATATTCAGATTCAGAGTTTAATCAGGTTTTTTTCTCCTCTGCTTATGTGCATCTGCAGAAAGCCAACCCTAACGCCTCTCCGTTCAGCGGCGACCGAATCGCACGGCTGTACGAGCTCGGTGGAGAGCCGGAGAGGCGAGGCTGGGTGGAGCGATACCTGAACTTCATGGAGGAGCGGGGCACACCTGTGAGTCAGCTTCCCACTGTGGGCAAGAAGCCGCTGGACCTGTGGAAGCTCTACATGGCGGTTCGGGAAATAGGAGGCCTCGCCATGGTAAGGCGCAGGAAGCGTTAGACACAGACTTGAATGTGGAGGAGCTCGTATTCTCACGCAGCCAAATCATTTCGCTCCGCTCGCTCTTTGGCTGCTTAGTATTCTTCATAAATCTCCACGGCATATGGCGAGCTTGTAAATGTTGAGAAATGTTCTCAGGAGAATGAGATGCATCAAATTAACCTCGGAGAAAGCTGCCTACGTCCTGAAACCAGCTCCAAGCATGTCGTTCCTCATGTGATAAAAATGTGAAATTAATATACCGGCAAAGTCAGGTGGGGGAAACTGGAAGCAAAAGTATACGGACACCTGACGGATACTCGTGTTACACAGCGGCTGGCGTTTTCTGCTCTTTGGTGGACCTGAGAGGCAGGTTCTCTGCAGACGTTCAACAACACAAAATTAGGAAAAATGTTTCGTTACTTTGAAGAAACATAAAATTTAACATGTTTTTTTTTTCTTTATGTGTACAAAGATGCAAATCTGTAGTTGTTTTACACCTAAAACCTGTCAGACAGTCTTGTGGAAACCAGTAATATTTTTGACCTTAACCCATCCATTTGCATTCCTCAGTTTCTTGCTGACTTTCAGTTTGTTTAATTCTCAGCTGAAATCAGGTCCTTCTGCTTCTCTTGGATTAGTCGAGCGAATCTTTCTACACCGTGAAAAACAGGCTGTGTGGTCAGTAGAGATGGGAATCACCATACATCCCACGATACGATATTATTGCAATTTTTAAAAATATTTTGCGATATTCAGATTCTGTACATAAAGGTAAACTTTATCAATATTCATTTTCTCTAATATCAAAGTCTCACACTCAGTCTTTCTCTCATTTCAGTTTGATTGTTGACAAACTGAACGGTTTGTATTACAGTCTAGTCCAACTTAACTGAATCAACCATCTGGTACAATTATAGCTATTCTGAACTATGCAGTTTATGAAAACTATGCAGCCCCTTCAGCAACTGAAGAATTTGAAAGTAAATTAAAACAAAATATAATTTTACATTAAATAAAAAAGTTTTAAACTTAATTAAAATAAAACATGTCTTAAATTAAAATAAGTAAACTGTCATGTTTATTGCTGCCATAAACAAGTTAAACACATTTGGACAGTGAAGGAATGTCAGGATTCTTGCTCAGAAAAAGGATCAACATGCTCTGAAGTCAGAGCACAAAAACCTTTTTGTAACAAAATATCGATTTCTGCTGTCCCTGTATCCATACATTATTAGCAAACAAAACATCACGATGCTACACAGTATCCATTTTTCCCCCACCCCTAGTGGTCAGGTCAGGCCCACATCCTCTTCTCTTGTGTAACACAGTGCATTTTTCCGCTTTTACATTAAAACGTACAACGTGAAAATTATCTGCAAGTGACCTGCGACTCCTGCAAACACGGAGCGCTGAGCCGCGGGGTTGATTATTCTGATTAGATTAGCAGGATGTGATGCTTGACTGGGAGTGTGTGCAGCCGATACTACCAGGATGGCGCCGAGAAATTATCTCAGTTGTTACGATCTGTGCCAATCATTTCGCTTCCTAACATCGTGTTGTTCTATGACTCAGGTAAACAAGAACAAGAAGTGGCGTGAGCTGTCCAGCACCCTGAACGTGGGTACATCCAGCAGCACCGCCAGCTCGCTGAAGAAGCAGTACATCCAGTATCTGTTTGCCTACGAGTGCAAGATGGAGAGGGGAGAAGACCCGCCAGCGGACAACAGCAGCAGTAGCGGCAGCATGGCTGGAGGGGACAACAGGAAGCAGGTCAAGATCCAGCCGCCTTCACCTGGTAAGTCCTGATAACAGACTGCCTCAGTCTCCAGTCTGTCAGCATGGGGGGTGCAGAGACCTTCCTCTGTAGCCGTGCTGAATGGCAGAAATCTGAAGTATACATTCAGAATATTGGATGCTTTTATAAGTCTAAGAATCTGACTCCTTAACGACCCTCCGATAGCAGCGAATATTAGATTACATTTAAAATTAGAAATAGCGCTCAACATTACGCCCTGATTACACGTACACAACTGGAACCCCGCAGAGATGAGTGAACATTAACACTGCTTTGGTGAGATGAGTCTTGGTTTAATAGAGGTGAGCGAGATATGATCACCACTTGTGCCTCCACGCGGAGCCTCGCCTTTATTTGATTACCCTGCGTCGGAAGGTTAAGTAATATTGTTTTGGTGCGCTAGCACAACACAAAAGGTTGCTTTTTGTTTGTGCGAATTACCTGTTGGAGCCATGTGCCTCTGCGCACAATTACAACGGGAGGACGAGGACGGGAGAGAGAAGGAGTCACGTCTCTAATTTGCAGCGGAGATGAGAAAAGTGACCCTTGCTTTTAAATAGAACATTGGAGCACTTCACCCGCCTGCGACGCCGCAGATTGCTTTTCCTGGTGGGCGGAAAAGAGCACCAGCCCTCATTTGCATACACACACACACACACGCGCATGCATGCATGCACATGCGAGGAGTTCACGTAAAAGTTTTACAATTCATAATTCAGTGCCTTCTCATCTATTCGAGGGGATTTAAACATCTCAGTTTTTACACAAACTCATTTTGCTTCTGATGGTGCTCGTCATCTGAGATGCAGTGTGTAAGGTAAAACGCGAAGAGGTCAACGCGAAGAGGTCAACGCTCGTGACGCTTAGGTTGGTATGCAGCGCTCGACTGTGAACTGCTCACGCTACGACACCCCTGCACCGCCATCAGAGTGGGTGGAGAGCAGCATCTGCAGCTAGCACTGCGATTCTGAAGACGCCCACAGTGCACTCAGACTACAGTAAAGCATGTGTTTCTAATTTGAGTTTCACTTTTACAATCATGTCGCTGAGTCTGATTCTGTCGTTGCATTTTTTTCTCTCCTCGGTGTTTCCCTGTTTTGCCTCTGTCTTTATATCATGTCCATCCGTGTTCCTCCTGAATCATCTCCTTCATGGTTAGGATTTGATTTTTATGTTTCATTTTCAGTATTGGTCATTTGCTCATGTCCTGTTTTACTTTGATAGTCAGTTTTCTTTTGTTCCTGCTTTGTTTTTTTACTTTGACCTAATGTGTTATGAACCATAAGCAACAACATGAAACAAAGAGTGACGCCAGAGTTTTTGGATACATTGTTTCTAAATATCAAGATGAAAACAGCAGCCAGCAGAGCAAAATGAGCCAACCACAGATGACCTTTACCCCAAACCTGTCAGGTGTAGGTAACTCCCAAAGACTGTTGCACTCTGAACACATCCAGGACCTCTCATATACCAAGCCAGACTCATACCCCTGAAACTGCAGCGATCATAGGACCGTGAGACCCACACCCAGGGTAACAGATGAGCAAAACAAGCACAGCCACACACTGCAGAGAGTTTGTGAACACCTGTCGTCAGCCATCGTTCATCCTCGAAAAAACGGAGCCTGGACGAGCCCCCAATTTATGTTACAATCCAGCTCATATCTGTGTATTTAATGAACAACTTTACTATTTGAAAAGAAAAAAAATGAAAGTGATTTTTTTAGCATTTAATTCTGTTTTTATCTGTTTTATCTCATTAAATGTGGCAGTGGGCAAGCTTGCCCTCAGATTAGCTTTATCTTTAAAAAACAGAGCGATCTCCTGTAAACACTAACTTTGCGGTTCGTCTTCGCCCTGCAGGGCTCACTTTGGTTGTTTTATGATTAAATATCCACTCAGTGATGCACTCAAGGCGTTTTTCATTTTTCCCTGTTTTGAAAACTATGAATAGAACGAAATGTTTGCAGTTTGTAATATAGACAAAGTTTAATTTAAGTGAAAGAAACTTAATAAATGTAACCATCGTGCAATAATGTTTGATGTTTAAGAAGCAGGCAGACTGACTATGCATAATTACCTTTGTATTTATAAATTTGCGAAAATACTTTTTAATTACTGCACTTGCACATAAAAAGGGAACATTGTGTTATGAAAAGAAGTCCGTATCGGGCGCGCACACGGCAGGAATACCTCCCGTTTTTGTCCTTCGTGTTGCTCGGTGTTAATGCGCTCTGTGCGCTTTGAACTGCCCCACTGACTCCCTGCCTGCCTATATATAGACTGACAGCCCAGTGATGTCACTGAGGGAGCGTGTCCAGCAGGGCGGGTGGGGGTGAGTGGCGGTGGGGTGTGGGGAGTGATTAATGAGGGCTGGAATGTAGAACGTAAACAAACCCGACCTCGCCGTCACCTTTCATTCACAAAACAGCTCAGCTGACTGACTTTTTTCCCCCCTTCTCCACCCCACCCCCACCCTCCCCCTTAACCGCTGCCACCCCTCTGGATTATGTCACCCGCTGACACACGCTTTTGTGTGCGCACACATCAAACAGCCACACACACTTTTTCCCCCCTTACGTCTCGCTCTAAAAGACGAGCAGAGGGCACTTAAGTTCACGCTGTCCTCCATCCTCATACCGCCACCACCCCCACCGCCGCCGCTCTTAGAATGGTAAACCTCTTAACCCCGACTGACCCCGCAATTGTTTGCACTTCCCCACGCGTGCTTTCCGTTTGACGCCGGGATATCCCAGGAAGTGAAGAATCCCTAATGCTCGCTGACCCCTCGTTGCCCCCTCTCCTACCTCCTGCTCATAATCATGGGATAACCATCTCTCCCTGTCTCGCGCTCCTTCTCTCCGTCTCCTGTGATGTAGAGGCAGAGGGTATCATTGAATAATTCAGAATTAGCATGAATTTTTAAAGCTTAAGTCTTTCTATGGAAACATGCGGTGCAGGGAAAGGCCACTCAGGATATTCGAGAGAAAGGCTTCTTA